CTTCTCCCAGCTGGAATCTTGAAAGTCACGTGACTAGGACGTAAAACAATAGAAAGCGTATAGGCAGAAGAAATGTGACAGTACCACAAAAAAATGGCCATTAATGTACCTCCACTACGTTTTGCAGTGTGGACCAACGTAGTGGGGGTACATTTTCCCATGAGACTGGGTTGTGCAAATTGCCGTTATAAAAACTGAAGCAGTAGACTTTTTAAATATTAACATTTGAATCATTCTCAAAACTTTTGGCCATGACTATATACGCATGTGTCTGTCACTATATGTGTCTATATGTGTAAACAACTGTATATTTATAATTAGTGTTGAGCCGATGCCATTTTTTGGCCCCGATACCGATACCTGGCTGTTCAGTATCGGCCGATACCGATACCATAATAATGTAAAATAATTGCCATCATGGTTTTGTCAAGCTGCTGCCTACCTTTGTGAAGCTGGAATAAATCTAATACAAAGTGAATCAAGTAGAACTTTTTATTGCCTACCAGGAGTGGGTGACAATAGTTGAATAAACTTATGGCTCTCCAAATGGTATCGGTACCCTATTTGTTGGTACTCGCCGATACCGATACCACCATTTTAGGGCGGTATCGGGGCCCCGTCCTATACTGGTATCGGTATCGGTGCAACACTATTTATAATACAAAAAAAAAGAAAGAGAATAAAGCTCCCTGAATGAGGTGATTTGTATCCTGCTGTGCAGCAATTTTATAGTAAACTATCTGCAACTGTTCTACTTAATATATCTCATTTATTTTAGTCATGTTTCTTTTAAATCAACAAATATTTTTCACAGGAAAAAAAATTAACTTTAATGTTTAAGAAGGAGAATTCAAAGCTTTTTTGTTCCAAATTTAACAGACAAACTCTTTCACAAAATTTAGTTTAAGCCACTTTTATTATAACACAAGTCTATTTAAACCACATTCCCTTGTTATACATTAAATGTACTCTAACATTTCTAAACACATTTAGATGTAATTCAGTTGCATAACCAGATTTTTCTTTAACATGGTTAGAAGATAAAAAACAGCATTTCTGCAATATGCGGGGTAAGGTGGATTTTAGAGCAAAACCAGATCTTAGTTGATTTTGCAAAATCAAGAAAAACAAACAACATTAACAAGAACAAATGTAAATGAAAAATAGAAATATCAAAGATAGAAGAAAAAAGCTTCAGCTATATGAGCTTACATATCAATATTCAAAGACTGTAGAAGTAACCTCATTAAAAATGTTGATGACAATGTGACTCCTTTGCAGTTCTTTAAAGGGGAACGCCGTTTTTTTTTACATTTGGCCCTTGATTTTACGTTATTACATCATGTTCTACTCACCCATATTAATCTTGTGTCAGTTGGAGCTGTTATGAAGATATTCAGTTAGGTTATATCCAAGTAACGTCTTCCTATGGGCAACGACTTGAAGGCACAAACTAAACTGTTCATAATTTATCATTTATGGTACGCCAGCATTCATAACATGTAGGCCAATCACTGTCCCCCAGACATCCACGGTTATATTTTTTATATTTATATCTTTTAAAAACAAAGCGGAGTGTGTATGATGTCATCCACATGCGCCGGCTACCACTCATTCATCCTGTCCGCTGAACAAGAAATACACATTGTGGAACTAATCAATGCCACTGAATCGGCCATCAGGAACAATAACCTGGCTGAAACGGAGGCAGAGCAACTTAGAATGAAGGTAACAGCTACCCTGTCTAGCGCCAAACCACCTCCTCCCAACCTCACACCCCAGGAAATGAAAGCCAAAACATCCCTTAGCCAGAACCAAAGCATCACCATATTACCAGCAGACAAAGGAAGATGCACCGTGGTCCTCAACACATTGGACTACCAGGACAAAATTATCACTCTACTGAACGACACTAATGCGTATGAATCCTTAAAAACAGATCCAACCAACGGCTACAAAAAGGAAATAATAAACTATCTCAAACAGCTTCAAAAAGACAAGGTAATTAACAGTACGGTCTATTTCAGATTATATCCAGGGGAGGAAATTCCATGCTTATATGGACTCCCAAAAAAATTCACAAGGAAGGAACACTACTCAGGCCCATTGTCAGCAGCATTACCTCAGTAACATACAACATTGCTAAACAGCTAATATCTTAGCCCCCTTGGTGGGAAACACACCACATCACATAGAAAACTCCAAAGACTTTGCTAACAAAGTCAAATATTTAAGGATGGCACCAGGAGAAACCCTGGTATGGTTTGATGTTACTTCCCTTTTCACATGCATACCTATAACAGAGGCAGTGGAAACAGTCAGGACACGTCTTCAACAAGATAGAGACTTAAACAACAGGACTAATTTCACTCTGGACCAGATCTGCACACTACTGGGCCTTTGTCTTTCCACTACCTATTTCAAATTCAGAGGTAAGTTTTACAGACAGAAGCATGGTTGTGAAATGGGATCTCCAGTGTCACCAATTGTAGCCAATCTTTACATGGAAGAAATGGAAAAGAGAGCTTTAGACACTTTCAATGGAACACCACCAAGCCACTGGTTTAGATATGTGGATGACACTTTCGTCAATATCCAGCTAAAGGAAGTTGAAGCTTCCACAAGACACATCAACTCTGTTGACCATAACATCAAATTCACCAGAGAGGATGCGGAGGACAACAAACTACCCTTTCTGGACTGCCTGGTGAGCATGGAAGGAGATGGAAGCCTAAACATTGAAGTGTATAGCAAACCTACTCACACAGACTAGTATCTTCTTTATGACTCACACCACCCACTGGAACACAAACTCTCAGTCATCAGAACTTTACAACACTGGGCCGAACATGTCCCTACTAAAACAGAAGGGAAGCACAAAGAACAGAAACACGTCAAAGATGCTCTCCAAAACTGTGGATATCCAAACTAGGCATTTATTAAATCAGCAAGGAAATCCAAAAGACATGCAACAGAAGATAGCGGTGAGAAAATTAAACAAAAAAACATCACAATCCCTTATGTTGCTGGAGTGTCTGAAAAGCTCAAGAGGATTTTCTCCAAACACAAAATCCCAGTACATTTCAAGCCAAACCAAACCCTTAAACAGAGGCTAGTGCATCCTAAAGATAAAACCCCCAGACTGAATATGAGCGGAATGGTATATGCTGTTCAGTGCAGCGAGGAATGCTCTGATCTTTATATTGGAGAAACCAAACAACCTCTCCAAAGACGCATGGCCCAACACAGAAGAGCGGCCTCCGCTGGACAAGACTCTGCAGTACATCTACACCTTGTGGACAAGAACATTCTTTTGAGGACCACAATGTTCACATTCTGGATGAAAAAAATAGGTGGTTTGAGAGGGGCGTGAAGGAAGCCATTTATGTTAAGAGAGAAAAACCAACTTTAAACAGAGGTGGTGGACTCAGATTCCAGCTTCCAAAAACGTACAATTCAGTTACAGAGATGACCCCTTCCACCCCATCACAGAGGAACAAAGCACCTCCTCTCTTCAGCCAGTGAACAATACCTCCTTAACGTCCAACCCTTAACAATCGTAGACAGGTTTCAGGTATTACAGGAGACAATCCCCCCCTTTAACGACAATCCCCCCCTTTAACGACCGACCTTCAGAATCATAGACAGGGTTCAGATATATTACAGGCTAACAATGGAACCAAACGACCCACTCGTTGGTTTCAATTTGCATATTTCCAAGCAATACAAGGCCTTGTCTATATAAAGACTCAAACTCACTGTGGATCCAGACATTTAAATTGAGAAAGCTTCCTGGAGAGGTAGCAAAACATCTTCAAATCTTGGAAACCAAGTCCAGTGGATTGTTTTTTTAAACTTTTATGGAATGACTATGACCTGGATGACTGAGAATCTTCATCAACTGCTGCTAGTTTTACTCACATACCTGGAAGATGTCTAGTGCTACTACCACAGATGATCTCGCTCTCGAAATGGAATTGAACGATTCAGATTAGCTAGCCGAATGAATAGAAGGGGTAAAACGTAGCCGCCTGTGGCACAGGCTTCCTGTAACGTCTCCAGTCCGCATGCGCGGATGACATCATACACGCGCCGCTTTGTTTTTAAAACATATAAATATGTTTTAAATGTCTTGGGGACAGTGATTCACCTACATGTTACAGTATGAATGCTGGCGTACCATAAAGAATAAAATATGAACATACAGCAGTTTCTCTGTTGTTCAGTGACTCTGTTAGTCACATAACTTTGGTATAAACAGACTCTAGTCAACTTGAGGTCTGAAAACATTCAAAACTGCAAAATAAAAGTCCCTGCAGCAGCGTTAGGCAGAGACGGAGAAACATGTTTTGGTTGAAACAGTAAATACATACTGGACTGAACCTCAGACTGAGGAACTGAGCTTAATTCTGTAAAATCCAAAAACTTTTGATCCTCTAATCATCAATTTATATCAAAATAGAAAACAGTAGGCAATGTTTGACAGAGAGAAAAATATACCTTAATTCACAAATAATGTTTTACAACTTTGAATGTAAAACTTTAACAATAGTTTCTTGAACAGATGGTAGAAATTTGTGAGAAATAAACCAAATAGAATCAATTCCATTTTTTAGTTTGGATTGGATCTTAAACTGGAACTTTTGATATAAAGAGGAACATTCATTTGGTTGAAGTTATTTCTTTTTAAAAAAGCTAAATATTAACAGTGTGGTAATCTTTGATTGAATCATATTAACAGATAGACTCTTTAAATGTCCTAAAAACATTGGAGGGAATTTAGCTTTGTTTATTTTTTACACAATATATGCTGTAAAATAAAAACCAATAATTTTCATCATATCAGTTATTCTGATACTGTTTGATTCAAGGGATCCTCGCTATCAGGCATTTGTTGATGTTCACCTGCAAAAAGCAAAGCACATTTATTTAAGTCACTTTCTTTGTGCTGAGATACAGAATGTGAGGCTCTCTATAAAAATCAATCTGTTAAATGAAGTGGTTCAATATTTTTTCCTCAAAGGAACAAATCCTAAGCAGCCTCAATTCAGCAGCAAATCTGAGCTAAACAGTTTACACACACGTTAAGCACAAATTTACCACGAGGTTAAGAAATAGCATTTTTGTTAAAGAAAATATACAAAATTTATATCTTAAAAGGAATTGTTACACAACATAAAAATGGTACAATAATACACTGCTAAAAGTAACAGTTTTTCTTTTCTCATTCCTGTTGCAGATTCTTTGAGCACTAAAGGGCCTTATTATTAATAAATACCTAGGACTATAAGGTTGAAATGAGAGAACATAAAGTTTTGAATCAAGAATCAGATTTTAATTTCCTAATCTGGACAGAAAAAGAAGTGTTACATTACATGATAAAGAAACTTTGATTTAAGAAAACAACTGAGCTGAAACCTCACTTTGATTTCAGGAAGAAGATTTGCATATTTCTGAGGTGTAAAAAAAAAAAAGAAATGCTGATTTTTTTTTTTTTCTTTAGAACTGTCAACCTTTCGACAGCTTATTATGCATACCGAGATTATCTGAAAAATTAAAGCTTACCAGAAAGTTTTTTTTTATTCTTCAAAATAAATCCTAAACTCCAAATGAGACCAATGAGGGTGATAACGAAGAGAATAATGAAAACGATGAGGAGATATGATGGACCTGAAATATAGATAACAACATACATGAGGATTAGATCACTCTCACGATGAATCAATGCATTTAACTTCGGTACAATCACACAAGAATGGCACAATTTAGATGATACAACCTAAAACCTGACTTTTAACCCAAAATAATCACTAAAATGTTGCTTCTCTCCACAAATCAGTGGTGACTGCCTTATCACCACCAAGTAAGCATTAACCATAATCAGTGACCTCAAAGTTTAGGTAAAATTCCTAGAAAATGTAAAAATGCTGAATTCAAGATTAAGAACATACTTGTTCAGAGCAGCCTATGATTTGTCTCATTTATGGATAATATGAGAATATTAACACCATGTTTTCAGATCCATGGGAGAACTGGACATTCCAGCTTTATTTTGTTTAAATTTTTTTTTTTCAAAGAGTTCTTACGGTAATATCATTGTGCGAGGCTGGAAATGTACATCCTCTTGGAATGATCAAGTCTGTATACTATATATGTTTATGAAAGCAGCACTGTGTAACTTGAGTATTAATTTAATACTGAAGTATTTGGTGATACATTTGGTGATTTTCCAAGTCAATATAAAGCACTTAGTGTGCATTGATTTCCAATGTGGGATGCTCTTTTCAAAAACTGTACTATGGAACTGGAAAAGTGCCTGTTGCTAAAAGAGCCATGTGACACAAAGCTCCCCTTTACAGCAACTAAGCTAACTAAAGCCCCTGTCACACCTTGACGATTAAGACCAGCGTATGCCTGACGTACAAAAAATCTGGCAAAAATGCTGGCATAGGTTGGATAAGTTATGGGTAGGTTTTGTATAAGTTATCAGCATGTTAAAGTATGCTGGTACACGTCGGCATACGGCAAGTACGTCGGGAAATTTTGAGCTCCCAACGTATGCCAGCCTATGCCATACATGGCCATAAATTACAGCTTAGTTATCTGATCGTTGACTTACACTAAGTGTATGTAAGTAACTCATAAGTTGTGGTGTCTAGCTTATCCAAAACCTATGAGTAACTTGTGATTAACTTGTACTTTATTTATCAAGAACTTATCTCCAACGCATATCAACGTATTTGACGTGTTCCAGACGACCGCTGAACCTGTTTTTAATTTACAGCTACTGTATATTGATGTATTGGCAGAGTTTAGGTATGAAAGGAGGTTCACAGGAGGAAACAGACAGTCAAATGTTTCACAGTGTAGCTTTAAATACTTATAGTTCTTAGGGAAAATATAAGTTAAACCTGTTTCTCTAATATTGCAACTCTTAGGCCTATCGTTTCCTCCATTGTGGAACTTGAACATCTGCAGATACTCATTTTAAATCTTTTTTTTTCTCCAGATGCTTTAACCACCCTAGACAAAATATTCTTAAATTTAAAACTTCAACAACTTTTACTAATACTATATCAAAAGCAAGTTGAACCTTATTATCATACCTTTGACACTAAAGAGGAAACTCACCAGAAGGCATGCGCACCTTGGTCTTCCTAGAGTAAATTTGATGGCAGATGTCTTCTTGCATCACAGCACAATGGTAATAGTCTTCCTTGGTCACAACAGCGAGGAGTGTAATGTCAAAGTAGCTTCCATTCTGAGATACGTTATAAACTTCAGGAGGAATAGCTCTATCATCTGTATTCTTCAACTCCATCTTAGGTTCTGGATAAGCACCAACAGCTATGCATTCAACCTTCACCCCATCCCCTTTTTCCTCAAGAGTCCTGATAACTGGTGGTAGACAGGTACCTGTAAACATGAAATAAACAATAAATATAGCAAGGAAAATTTTAGCATCTGTGATGGCTGCATGTACAACCACACAACAAATGGTCTGGTAATTCTTTCATTAAATAAATCTTATATTTTACTGTACTGTATTTCATTCTTTTTACTTTGATTTGGCATTAGTTAACTACGGTATTTGGGTGCACACATTTAGTTGACATATTTTATCATTTCTTGATTATTTGGTTTTCTGTACATTAATATAGTTTTCATTTGAGTTGCCAGTTCCAGGGAGGCTGTCATGAGTGAGGCGAGTAAAGGAAAGGAGGCCCCAGCTGCAAAGGATCTCAATGACACGGAGACCTAGTTTGACTCTTGAACTTACTTTAGAAGGGGTGTAGGAAGGGTTTAGGTTCTGTATTTTATTATTTTTTTTTCCATAATTAAATTTGGGAAGTGTAATTTTTTAAGTCCTCTTCCTCATAGGTTGCTGACTTAGTATGGTGCTGATTAGTTTGGTCTTTTGTTGTAGTTTTGTTTAGGCAAAAGTAACTGAGGTTTCCCTCTTGTGTCAAAATGGTCTGATCAACCAGTGTTTATATATATTTCCCTTGTGTGTCAGTTAGGTAGGTCTTTTCCTGTGTCAGGTTTGGATTATGTTGATTTATGTCATTAGTTTTCTTTGACGGGCCCAGTCTTGTTAGAAGTTTGAATTTAATTTTTTTTGCTAAATAAATCTGTTACCATTTTTTCCATCAATGACTTCCCTGTGCCTCTCTTATTTTTTGGCTCGGTCCCTCACAACATCATAAGTCAATGGCCAAGTGTCAATAATCAACAACTGTTGTACAATAATCTAATCTAATCAATAATCTCAGTGCATGGAACTGTGCTGTGCTGTACAACTCCCCTCTCTGATTTCTCTGCCTTAAGTTCCACCTTCTCTCTTTCTGATTGCTTGTTTTCTAGTCTGTATGTGTGCGCGTGTGCGTGCTTGGAGCATGAAATAAAAAAAATTGACGCTAGAATACCGCAGTTACTAAAATTAATATTAGACAACGAAACTAGTCCCAATTAAAAAACTAAATGTTATCTACACTAAAACAGGTGAAAGCTTCTGATGGCAGTTCTGTAAAGAAGCAGGATAGAGTTTGGATTTGTGGAACTTGAGAAATGTAAGTAACCAATGTAAGGATTTCTTTTTTAAAACTTAATATTCTAAGTCAGAAAGGAGTTCAGAAAACTGCTGTTAAAATGAACAAAGACTGTAAGCTATCAACATTTCTCATTCCCTTTTACCAATATTTCTTTGCTATTAATGTTTTCATTTTTGACAGCGGTGAAGGTATAAATTACAGCTGTTATTTCTTTTGTAGAACATAACAACATGAGAAGGATGCTAAAGATCTGCTATTTTTTGTTTTCCACATAAAAATATTTCTATTTTATTGACTTCTATTTCTAGAAATAGGATAAAGACAAACAGAGGAACTCTATTTACATTAAATCTATTTTTCTAGATTTCCACACTGTCAGTAAGTAAATTAGTACAAACATTAATGTTTGGTAGATAATGCTTGAATCTGGCTGTTTATTTTGGATACTATTACATTACAGATAAGTTAGTGTTATATTGTCTTTTATAATTGTTAAAAGTGATTTTATATTTGAATAAACTTCGGCTCATTCTTAGTCTTTTGTTTGTAGATAATGTCACTTAAAAAGAAAATAGACATAAGGAGCTATTTAAACAGTCAGACAGTAAGCAATATAGGACAATGATAAAAGGTTGTGTTACATTTAATCCTTTACTATTAAAAACGCACTTGTACAATTGAAATATTATATGATTGTAAAAAACACAGATATAATGATGCAGGGCAGCCTCATGGTGAAGCAGCTGCCCTTCAGTGCTGTATTATGGAAGAAATGTGTTTCGAATGTTACCATAAAATTAGGGCTGCAACTAATGATTATTTTGCAAATTGATTAATCTGTTGATTATTTTTCAATGAATCGATTAATAATCAGATAGCCAAAGGTTCCTTAAGGAAAATTTTTCGTGAAATTAAACCAGGTGAAACAGAAACATTTCCTCTTGAGGAGTTCTGGATGGAAAATATTGACAGACAAAAACGTTTTTTTAATCTTAAATGCAAAATGTTTACATATTTTTTACAATCTTGTTATAATTCCTACTCTAAGTGGGTCGCTCTGTCGGCTAAAGGCACATTTTAGTGGCCCTATACTCCAGTTAATGATTACTCAATAACTAAATTAGTTGACGATTATTTATATAATCGATTAATATGATTATTGTTTCAGCCCTAGATAAAATACATGAAATGGGCTACACAGAGTAAGTACAGCCCATATGTACAACTTGTATAGTGAAATTAATATTGTGCACATGTAAATACATTTATATCTATATCTTCAAAAGCCCCTAAAATAAATACCTTGCAGGTATACAGTGGAAAGTGTAACCAGATAACTTTTCACATTCTATGTAACAGCCAAACATTACTTTCTATTTAATTGGAATTTTATTTGATAGACCAGCAGAGTGATGCTCTTTATTTATAGTTTATTGAATCTATTTTTAACTGCAATGAAGAGACAAGTCTTATGGAGTATGTCATAAGAGCTTTCTGTAATATTAGTTACTGTTTTGAAAATTTTCCTATGCAAAATAGTACAATAGTCATATTGGATGGGTAGAAACAGTAGACCTGTATGTTTTAATCCTTCTACAAATCATTATCAGCATTAACATGTAGTAATAACCTATGTTTGCTGTGTGTCTCAGTTTTCATGCTGCTTTTGCTTAAAAATGTTTATATAAAAAAAGTCTAATTATTTGTTTTTAAATGAATATGGGTTCTGAGTGCTTATAAGATCCTGAAGACAATTGGTTGCAATGGATTTTATTTAGGGCCAATTGAGTAAAAGCAGTTCAGAACAACTAGGCTACACCAAACAACAGATTTGAAATAACAAAACAAAGACTCTTCTCCTTTAGGTTTACAATTATGACAATGCTCTACTAACAAATCTATTACTATTAAATTATTAAATCCTGCTTTAATATATTTAAGTTTTGTGTTGTAAACTGACAGATTGGAAGTTACCATTAATTAAGTTAGCAATGTGCTAATATCAATGTTGCTTGTCTTTTCCATTAAGAGACAAAATAATTGAGCACTGATAATATCTCCTTTGCGAGAGCAGAAATATTTCACCTTGAATGTATTAGATAGCTGCAACAAATTAACATCATACAGAAAGTTTCACTAGACAAACAAAGACCCATGGATCCCTCTACCAGTCTATATCCATTCTCTACTCCAGTCTACTTATGTTTTATTGTTATTATTACTATTACTATTATTATTATTTCTTAAAGGCTTGGACTAATATCGACTAAGAAAACTGTTAACAGTCAATTTCCTTTATTAGCCTTCTCTGCACCTTTAAATATGTTTTAGAAACTGTGCTGGAACCAAACAGAGGATCTAAGCGTATATTTTCTCTTTTATGACTGAATAGCGCCATCAAGCCCTATCTGGGAGGAGATAGGAACCAGGACTCACCTTGTTTTCTTTCTGGATCCTTGGTTCTGTCCTTTAACCATATAAAACTCGGAGGTTGCATGCGACCTGATATTTATCTAGTAACAATTATCTATTCACAGTGTGTGCTTTACTCAATAATAGAGCTACAGTTATCTGCGTGTTATATCGCGTTTGAAAGATTATATCCTGGTTTTTAACGCAGTCTGGTTTCTTAAAGCGGCTTCGCGGTGTAAATAAATAATTTCGCATTATTTTACTCCTGTAAACATATGGAAAATTTAAATACTAACCGGTTTGGTTATTGGTACAATGGGGCAAAGACGGGCATTATTTTTTTTTTCACATGATAAACCCGATTAAATGAACTAGAATTTTAAGCGGAATTTATTTACCTGAAATCAGCGGAAGAATACGATGTTAAGTTGATTAAACCGATTAACTTTAAAGTAAACAAATAACCGTTATAATTGCAATAAATCAGTAAATAACGTTAACCAATGAGCTCGATCTTCTCTGAAATCAAAGCCAACAGTAACAAAACGAACCAATAAAAACATAAATTTCATGTTTTTCTACTGAAGTTCCGCCTCAGTTATCCAATCAGATACCAGCTTTATTCAACAGGTTTCCAGTTTATTCAGAGCAGATCTCAGTTACTTTCAGCCAATAAAAATCAGTTCGTTTAAATCATCCAAATATAATTACCAATCCATTTAACTGTCTTTACCGCAAATATAAGTAAAGGTGACCAGGTATCTGATGTTACAGTTGATAAACGAAGTAGATGAAATTACTTCATCTCTAAAATTCAACATTTTATGGTAAATGATAGCAGCATCCTTTGATGCAATGTGAGAAAGCTTTTTTCTTTATCATTTTCTGCGGTGACCAAGAGACATACGGTTCCTCTAAAATTATTTTTAAGGTTTTAACAGGGTTTAATTTTCATTTTCTGCTAATTGCTGATTAACTCTGTGGCCATCTACTGGGGATCTTCTGTGCTGCACCTTCAGAAAATTTGTCTGCAGAAATAAAATTAAGTGTTGTCCATGAATGCCAATAAAACAATAGATCTGCTGTGTGAATCCCTGCTTGATCAACAACATTTGAGAGAAATATCACTAAGTTTAAAGAATGACAAAAAATTGACTAAGATTAATCTATCAATCAATTTTATTTTATATTATCAAATAAAGTACATTTTGCAACTTGAAGAACAAGTGAGTCTGAAATGTGTCATGAATTCTTCCCTAATTTACCTTAAATTAATATCACATGCCATGCCTGCTTTTTAATTATTCAAGGCTATTTTACAGTTCAAGCTTACTGATTTACAGCTGCTCAGGTTACTGTGATCAGCCCTAAGAGGTTAAGATGCAAACTATAAGGGAGAAGAAAAGAGATGTTAGAGACATCTATCAAAATCACCCGTTTGGGATTAACATGAAACAAGATGATTCCCATCATTCCCATGTTTAGCAGGTTTCTAGGGTTACCTTCTTTTACAATTATAATATAGTCATAATAAGAATGATCCTAACCAGGAGTGATGTGGAAATCCTCTCCATGTATACTTCAGGACTGGACTATTGTAATTCTTTATCATATGAAAGTAAAACAAAATGCAGTGAAAATGCTGCATCCTGTCAAAAGATGTGGCATCCAGGATTGAGATCAAAATCTGAGAGAGAGATAATATTTATCCTATTCAAGCTTATCTTCACCACTCTCTGTTAAAACCTGAATAGAATCCAAAATATTCTTCACCCATATTTAAAGCATAAATAATCAACCTACATCTTATATCAGATATCTGAATATACCATCATTTCTTAACAAAGTTCATACTGATGTATACTGAGAGGAAGATCTCTTCAGAAAAAAAGAAGGGAATATTTCTATATTAGCTCTTAATGATAATTGGACACATACGATTAAGGAGCATTCCTGGGTTAAGATTATTGCACTGGGACATTAACTAACACTCTTAGTTTCAAACCAGTTGTCTTATAGCCTCTCAAGAAGATGAATGCCCTGCTCTCTAACCCCCTGCCTACGTTAGCAGCAGGCCTCCTCCAGTAGAACCAGCTACCAACCTTAGACTGGAGGTAGACCCCTTGTCAAGCTTCAAAAATAGCCTATTCCAGTTTATGTTTTTTTGCTATTATTTCAGCTCTGAACTTAAAGTTCTCTTTCTTTGTTTTTCTCCTAATAATAGCTTAGTCTGGTCTGCTCTTCTGTTTATTTCTGACACCTTCCTGCAGAGGGCGCTGCAGCACCATCTGAACTTCTGCTGTCAGTGACTTAATGTCCCCTTTACATATTTGATATACTTGGCTCTGTGTTTTCAGTGTTAAACTCTGTCTCTCCCCTAGAAATATCCAGTTAGAAAATACGTCACATCTTTAATGTATAACTACAGATTGTAACTCAAAATAAAAGAGTAAATTACTATAGTTTTTAGATATTTTCTCTTTGATAGATATAGATAGCTCTGTGCTTCAATTCTATAATGACATGCAAGCTGATTTTCAGTTTCATTTACTTGTACATCATCACACTTCCTCTATTTTCAATATTTTAAATATCATAAAACAATCACAGCAGAAAAAGGCTTTGCATTAAATAAATTTACTTCTTGTGGAAACCATTATGGATTTTGTCAGTTATATGGGAATAAATCCTGTTTCATAGTGAACCAATTTGACTTGAGTTTTGAGGTAATTTTAAACCTCTTGTAGACAAATAGGGTCTAATGAATGGATTATTTATTATTATTTTAAGTCTGTAAGTGTTGCATAAAAATACTCACCAACAGTAAGCTCAATAAGCCGCTGGTGTACTGGAGCTTTTCCAGGTTCACTAATATGCAAGCAGGTGTATTTCCCACTGTCTGAAACCTTTGCTCCCTTGATTTTTACAGAAGCATCTCCAGACTTTAGATCTTCTGAAAAACGAGAGACCCGGTCTTTAAACTTTGGATTCTCAACTGTAGGATCCTCCTTTCCGAAATCAAAATAAAAAACATCGTTGTCATCTTTTTTCCACTCAATGCGATGACCTGTAATGTCTGTCCCAAAAGAGCAATTTAGGATGATATCCTCGTCTTCTTTGATGGTAATCTTGATAGAATCTGAAAAAGAAAAACAATGCATCATTCAGCAGTGTTCAATTCAATTCAGTTTATTTATATAGCGCCAATTCACAACACAAGTCATCTCAAGGCACTTTACAGTTCAACCAGATCATACAGTCAAATTGATTCAAAGTTCTCTATCTTTTGCCCTCCTCAAAGCAGTGTTCCAACAATCTTCAGAATTAGTCTGAAACAGCAGCTCTTTAGCATTTAACAAAAAGAAACGGTTGGTTTTATATGTGGTTTGTTTCTTTTTCCCTAATAGAGGAAATAAAATAAAATAAGACAGTCTGTGGGGTTTTATAAATGTTTGTGTTTATGGCTTTCAAGTGTCCACGGGTTAAAGCTTCACACCTAACCAGGAGAAGAAAAAATACAGTGCAGCAATCTTTCGACTTTTTTGTAAAAATTTTAGATATTTATTACTCACTTGTGACACAATCTCTTCCCACATAAATCATATGAACTATTATTACTGCTTCTTGCCAATAATGACTTTATATTTTGCTGACATAAAAAAAATACTGGTTTCATTCAACAATATGCAAACTTTAAAATATTTTGTGTTTTAAGATTAAGTGTTTTGGGTTTTAAGCTTATCTTTATGTAAAAGAGGGACTTTTAAGTTATTGAAAGGTGTAAAAAATCATCAGATCATCCCATTTATATTTGTCTATTAAACATGTCATCTTGGTGTGAATAAATCCATTGAAGGCTGCACAGAACTGAGAGGTAAGTGGGATTCATTATGATTTAAATGCAAGACGTTTGTAATGGATTTGGATGGACCCAAAGACAACCCGCAAACAGGTCAGTGAAACTTAAACAGTTTTTATTAAAGAGAAGGGCGGCACGGACTCCCGGAAAGTGCGACTCACGTTCATCAACTTGCAGCTTCTACAGACAGAGTGGCGGTTAGTGACCAGTGGAGGCAGACAGAAATGTGAGTTAAGTTAAGGGGCATACAATCTCCGTTACTCACAGGCAGGCTGGGTCAGAAACACGGATAGACAGTCCAGATCACTGAGGCTGACGAGCAGGACTCAGGCGGGCAGACAAAAATCCTGAAAGGGGTCAGGCTGTCTCAAAAAACAGGGGCAAAAACAGGTCGAGGTACAAACAGGCAGACAGACATTCAGAAAAGGCTGGAAGTTCTCACCGTTTGGCTACATACGTTCAGGCACTGGAGGCTGGAGGGACAGAGCCTTTAAGCAGGTAGGGTGGAGTAGAACAGGTGTGCTGATTGCAATTAGCAGCTCCAGTGCCAGGAACGTTACAACGTTAGTATAAACAAACTCTGCCATCCGCTGGTTTCATGGAAATGCTCCAAGTAAATTATAGGAAAGATGCTTAACAGCAAACATAGTTGCCTAATTAATTAGCATCTTATCAGGAAGTGAACATTTCAACCATACAACTGTTGCAACCTGCTAACAAATTTTTATCATATTAAAGAACATCCAATGATTTTTCTTTTCAAATAACTGTAGCATTCTATTCCAGAACATAAAAAGTGAAGCACTTTTATTATTTTAACATCTTTTGATTGTTCCTAACATATGTAGTCCAGATTTAAATGATTGAATGATCACCAGGTGTTTTAATGCTTTTATGGTATTTGGGAGCTGGTATATATTTTTTATCACATAATTTAGAATCTCTAGATATTATAAAATAAACAAACAAAAACAATCCACTGGACTTTGTTTCCAAGTTTGAAGACATTTCGCTTCCCATCCAGGAAGCTTTTTCTATTCAAAATATCAGCAATAGCATTAGAGGTTTCATACAGTAGATCATCAAAACCTTGTTTTTGTTTTGAAAACATGAAAATTGAAAGGGAAGAAGGGGTCTGCCCCTTTGGAATGGGGTCGTTTGGCTTCTTTTGAGGGCCTGCAATGACCCATACTCGACTAAGTCTCTGAAAAGGGAGTTGTTAAAGAAAATTGTTGGCCTGGCTGAAAAAGCCAGGTCTTCTGCACTCCTGTAAAGGGGTTGGGATGATAGCAGGAACTGATCTACTCAGTTTCTGCATTGTAGGTTTTTGAAAGCTGAACCCTTATTCCACCCCTGTTTAAGGTTGTTTTTTTCTTTCTTAACATAGATGGCTTCCTTTATGCCCCTCTCAAACCACCTATTTCCTTTGTCCAAAATGTGAACATTCTGGTCATCAAAAGAATGTCTTCTGTCCACAAGGTGTAGATGCATCACAGAGTCTTGTCCCGAGGAGGTCGCTCTTCTGTGTTGGGCCACGCGTCTGTGGAGAGGTTGTTTGGTTTCACCAATATAAAGATAAGAGCATTCCTCACTGCATACACCACTCCGCTCATATTTGGTCTGGGGGTTTTATCTTTAGGATGCACTAGTCTCTGTTTAAGGGTCTTGTTTGGTTGAAATGTACTGGGATTTTGTGTTTGGAGAAATACCTCTTGAGCTTTTCAGAGACTGTAGCAAAATATGAGATGGCAATGTTTTTGCCTTTAATCTCCTCCGTTATGTTCTGCTTTTGGATTTCCTTGCTGATTTGTCATACGCCCAGTTCGGGTATCCACAAGTTTGGAGAGCATCATTGACGTGTTTCTGTTCTTTGTTGTGGTGCTAGTCAAAAAGAAGATATTGATCTGTGTGAGTGGATTTCATATACACTTCAATGTTGAGGTTTCCATCTCCTTCCATGCTCACCAAACAGTCCAGAAAAGGTAGCTTGTTGTCGTTGGCATCCTCTCTGGTGAACTTGATGTTGTGGTCAAACAAAATTATGTGTCTTGTGAAAGGTTCCACTTCTTTTAGCTGGATTTTG